TCACTTTGGTGCGGGGCCTGCCGATTGATGCATGCGATGCGACAGTGGCGGCGGGCCGCGTGCTTGGGCTTGGATCCCACCGCTCCCCGCCGCCCGAAAGCCGCGCCCAGCAGAGGCCACTCCTGCGAAGAGTCACTCTTGGGACTCTTTCAAGTCATCGACTCGGGCACCTCTGGAACGCTCTCGGCGAGGAGCAGCTCATGGAAAACATCCAATAGTCGGGCACGTCCCCCTTCAGGTGGATTTTGGACGAAACATAACAATACCCAACAGATTTTTAGAAAAGGCACAAAAATAGTCGAACAATCGTCTCCAGACAATTTTTTCTGTTTGTGAATATTCCTCCTGTAGAGGGACAGGAAAGACTTAACTCCAATATCCATCGGCTCCGCCCTCCCTCGCGCCCGCCTGCGATTCAGTCGGGACCTCCATCCGGCCCGCACCCCGGGCACTTCGGCGTGCGCCGACGGCGGCCGCGCGGAAAGGCTCGGGAGACGCGGTCGGGCGTGGACTAACTCGGCTTATCGCAAAGCCAGCTCAGCCCACTTAGCGAAAACTGCGCTATAGCGCTGTGGGAGGCTTCCCAAAAGCCCAGAGCAACCAAGATGTGTATAAAGCCACCTCCAGGGCCGCGAGTGGCTCAAACCCGGTCTGGCTTTGCAGGACCTGACGCTCTGGCCGAACCCCGTTCGCGCCGAACCACGTGAAGTGCGGGCTGATGCGGGATGGGACGCACAGGGACATACTAATACTGCATGTCCTCCTTGGAGGCGAGCGTCCGGCCCGAAGATGTGGTAGACCCGTCTTGTGGTATATCCTTTCCCGAGTGGTGTGGCCAGAAAGCGCCCGCCACGACGCATGTACTCCAAGATTTGTCGGTGCGCGCGTCGCCTCCGGGGGGGCGACGCTCCTCTAGTAGAAGCATGTTGGGCTGACGCCGACGGGAGCGCCGACGGGAGCCTCCTGCTCCTCCTCCGGGCCCAGCGCGCCCTGGCGCCCCAGCGCGGTGGTCCTGGCCGGGAGGGCCGCGCCCGCTGCTACTCCGCCCGCGACACCTCGGGCGGGGACCCCTGCTTAGGGGAACAACAAGTGGCATAAACATATAAAACTCGGAGGTCCGCGCGGATTTCTCGGATCGGCGCTGGACCCCCCGCCCTGGCGCGCGGAGCGCGCCAGGGGCGGCGCCAGAGGCGCCGCCGGGGGGTCCCAGCGCCGATCCGAGAAATCAGCGCGGACCTCCGAGTTTTTATGTTTATGCCACTTTTTGTTCCCCTACTGCTGGCAGCTCCCGACGAGGGAGCAGCCTCGGCACAGATCGACGCGCGTCAGGCACGGGCCGACCGCACGTCGCCCGTCGAGGCGGCCAGCAGGAGCGCGGCCCCTGGCTGGGTGGCCGCGTCCGCCACGGGAGCACCGCGACGACGGACTGGGCACCGTCGGCGTGCGGCCCGACCGCGAGCACGACGAGGACGACGACGGCGGCAACGACGGCGAGGACCGCCGCTACGACCAGGGCTGGGACCCTGACGACGGCGACGACGACGACGACGACGACGACGGCGACGACGACGACGACGACGGGCTGCGGATCTCGGCTATCGCGACTACGACTTCCCTGGCCATCTCAGGCGTAGCCTTAGGTCGGGCATGTGCCCCTGCAGGCGGTCTGTGGACGAAGAATGGAGAATAGTCAACCCATGCTCAGAGATGGTCAAAGGTACTGAAAAACTCGTCCCCAGAATATGTTTTGACTATTTCTGAATACTCCTCCTGTAGAGGAACAGGCCCGACTTAAGCGTAGCCCCCCCTCTGCGCCGTTCGTGGAGCCTGGGGCCGCCATCGCCACACGCGAAGCACATCTTGTGCTGAGCGTGACTTATGCCTCCTTCTCCTCCGAGGCCGCTCGCTTGCTTTCTTCGCTGCGCAAATTCACGACACGGTAGGTTCGTGCGGCGCTGGCGCGCGCAAAAGTTTGTGACACCACGTCGATCATTCAACATTGAATCGATCGCGGCCCCGATTGTTCAAGGTCGAATTCCGTCGGGTCCAACAACGTTACCGTGTCCATCGGTGCTTCCGCGCCGCAATATTCAACCTTGAACGCCTTCGATGGCGCCGCTAGCGCGCCAACACCGCATGAATCTACTGTACATAATTTAGATGACTGTTTCCTAGACTACATCACAATAACCGTCACATGCCCAGAGCAGCTCGTATTTAAGCCGCAGCGCAACGCGTGGACAGCAGGAGGCAAGAGGAAGAGCAGAGAGCAGCGCGGAGAGAGGCAGGAGAGCGAGAGAGAGAGGAGGCAACAGAGCAGGAAGGAGGGAGACCACGGCGAGCAACGCAAAGCAGCAGGAGGACGGGGGACAAGAGAACTGAGGGCCAAATGACACACTCAAGAGGTATCAAGGCGCGCTGATCACCTGCCCCGCAGGAGAACCCGGCTTGATCCACTCAGTGAGTTACTGAGCCCGTGCATCCAGGCAGGCAGCCCGTGCACAATATGCTGCATTAGTCAGCGCCCCGCCCGAGCCTGTACGCGGGTGTGCCCCCACGCCGCTGCGACGGAGAAGATGCAGAGGCTGGAGGAGCGGCGCGTGGGGACGCCGGCATGGGCCGTCCCTCGCGGGGCGTCGAGGGGCTGCGTGTCGCGTGAGGGGGTGGTTTCGGCACGCGTTGGGTGGGGGGCCGGGCGGGGGCGGGCCGCCAGGGAATGTTTAATACACGATTAATGTACGAATAAATGTATGCATGAACTCATCGTTGATTTAAATGCTAATTCCCTGCACTTTTACACATGATCCGCACGCGGAACATGTATTAAAAACGGCACTGTATGTCACCTTCCACCCGCACCGTAGCTTCGTCCGTCCCCTGCCGCGCCCCGCCGGCCAAGCCCAGGCGGTTAGCTCTGGCTGCTGCCGGCTGCGAGACCCGAAGCGGTCGTCTCCGAGAGCTCGGCCAAGCGTAGACGCGCGCGTTCCCCTGCTTGCACTCGACTGTGGGGCCGCGACGTTGAACAATGTGTGCATGTGTCTGTGTGTGTATGTGTGCGTGCGTGCGTGCGTGCGTGCGTGCGTGAATGTGTATGTGTGTGTGTGTGTGCATTTGTGTGTGTGTGTGTACGCTGACGTAGGCCTCGTGGAGCACCCTGTCCGAATTGCTCGGGCACGCAAGCAGGGGTGAAGCGGGAGGGGGGGGTCTTCTGAGAAGGCGCGAGGTTTCAGACGGGATCGGCCCCATCTTGTCGGCGGTGGACAAACCCCCCTTTCGTAAACCTCCATTTAGCGAAAGCGGCCTAGGACCGAAACCGACGCACCTGGACCCGCAAAAAATGATGGCCGCGACGCCCTCTCGCGAACCGAAAACGGCCAATTCGCTTATCGCCGTGTCAGGGTAGGAGGTACATCGACCTCCGATCTTAAAGGCTCCCAGGAAGACTTCTGAATGCATGAGGGCTTCTTGGCTTCTGGGAGGCAGGGTTCCGCCCTGGAAGGCCCCCACTCCGCCTCGCCCTGCCCGCAGTTATCATCAGGTCGGGACTGTCCCCCATACAGGCGGTTTTTGAACGAAAAATAACAAAGGGCTAACAAGTATTTCAGGCGTAGCCAGTCAGGCCATCTCAGACGTAGCCTTAGGTCGGGCATGTCCCCCAACAGGCGGTTTTTGGACGAAGAATAAAGAATAGTCAACAAACGCTCAAAGATGGTCAGAAGTTCTCCAAATCTCGTCCCCAAACTATTTTTTGACGATTCTTGAATCTTCCCCCTGTAGAGGGACGGGCCCGACTTACTCCTGCCCGCAGTTAGCACGAGTAGGGGGCCACGTGCGAACCCCACCCTCCCCCTCAGAAATCGTGGGGGGCAGGGGTAGGGTTCGCACGTGGCCCCCTATCGAGCCCCCGGCTCAGCCTGGAACTGCCCGGATGCATCTCGTCCGGATCGCCCAGGGGGGTGCCGCGGTGCCCACGCAGCTCGAGTGCTCCGGAGCGGCGCCGGGCTCTCAGTGGCTCGACCTGCCCGCATCGTGTGGCCCTTCGACACGCGCGTTCCACCACTCGCAGAGTAGCTACTCGCAAATGGCCCGGATCCGCTGCGGGGGACTCACGATACGTCACGTCGAGGCAAGAAACTATGCTTCGGGCGTTTGCGAGTGGGCACTTTGCGAGCAGTGGAACGCGCTCGGTGAGCTCTGGACCTCCTGACCCCCTCCCGGGCCCGGGCTCTCACAACACGGCGGGCTCCGGAAGCCCTGAACCCTAAAACGCTGTCACCTCTTGGGCGCAAACCTTTTGCTTTCGCCGCCTCCCGCCGTCCTTCCGCCGGTGGAGGCGGCCTCGTTCTGCTTCCGCTGGCTTCTGCCAGCCTTTCGCCGAGGAAGACATGCCAACTCCTTCAATCCTCGAAGGCAGGGCCCTTTCTGGAATGCCCCTGTGCCCGAAAGCGGCCGCTGGAAGAAAGCGGCCACTGGAGGGCGAAGACTACGACTTAGTCGAGCCTGTCCCTCTACAGGAAGACTATACAAAAATAGTAGAAACAAGGGACGATTCTTTTACATTTTTCGAATATTTTTGGGGTATTGTTTTATTTTTCGTCCAAAATCCGCCTGCGGGGGGGCACGCCCGACCTAGGGCTAAGAAAGACGTGCGTCTTGCTTGGGGTTAACGGGACCCGCATGCCGCACCTCGTCGCTTGTGCCCCCAGCTTGGGCGCGGTCGTGGCCAGACGGCGCGCGACATCTGCGGGAGCCCAGCGCCGATCCCATAAATTTAGGTCGGGCATGTCCCCCTACAGTTGTGTCGTTCCCATCGCACTTAAGGACCACATCCCAGAAATTATTTCGAGCACCCGGAGAAGTGTCGAAAGAGTGTCGAAACAGTGTCGGACGAGTGTCTCCCAGGGGCCCGATACGTGAAAACCATCGAATTGGGGTACGTTTCTGGTGCTCGGACTTCTCTATGGTGATCAAGGCTGTTGCAGGTTGGATCATCATAACCCTACCGGAGGATCTTGGACGAAAAATAAAAAATAATTCAGACATGCTCCAAAATGGTCAGACATAGTTAAAAATTCCTCCCCGGACTTTTTGTGGACTATTTTTGAATATTCCCCCAGTAGAGGGACGTGCCCGACTTAACAGTACATCCGCGCGGACCTCCGAAAGGTGAGCGTTTTTTGTTGTTATTAACAATATTGTGTTTCGACGTTTAGCAAAAGGGGGGAGGGGGAGGGGTCTGGTTCTATGCCCCTGCTTAGTTAGTGCATCTCTTTGTAACTCTGTCTGGATCTAGGGTCCGTCCGCTCCATTCTACTCGGATCCAAAGTTGAAATCAAGTGGACTCTTTTGGATTCCAAGTGGATTCAATCCAATTGGAATCCTCTGGATCTGGGATCGGCTCCATTCCAGTTGGAACCCAATCGGACTACAATCAGATACCGATCTTATCTAGAGTCCGCCTCTTTCAAATCTGGATCCCACTTGGGATCAAATGGATTAGAATTGGAATCCTCTGGATCTGGAATATGTTCCATTCCAATTGGAATCCAATCAGAATCCGAGTGGAATCCGGTTCGAATCTTCTGGGTCTGGAATCTGCTCCGTTTTAGTGGAATCCAATTCGAATCCAATTGAATCCAATTGGAATCTTCCGGATTTGCCATTCCAGAGGATCCATTTACAATCGGCTACCCCTACGGTATGTTTCTTTACAGCGCATTCGGCGCTCTGGAGCCCATTTCGTACTTTCCCGAGGGGCGCCGCGAAAACACAGCGCGCATGTTCGTGAAACAGCGATTCGCGTGTCCACGAGGGAGGGGGGAGGCGGCTGGGCCCCCGTGCCTACTCCACCTGCTCGAAACAGGCGCCAAAATCAGCCAAGACAACATCTACTCCATGGGGGTGCCCGTGCCGATCGGCAAAACAATGAAGAAGAGAAAGCTCACAAATTTGTGCTGGTGGAATTTGTCCTCGGGAGGGGAGGCTGCTGGCCGGAAGAGTGGCAGAGGCTCGCGAAGTGTTACGTGGCGCGAGTCCTGGCAAGATTGGCGACCTTTCGAAGCCCGGGGCGCGAGAGTCGCGCGACGACGAGGTGCACCCGAGGCCGCGCGATGCCCGGGGCGGGCCAGCGTCTTTCGGCGGTAAACCTCCCTTTCGTAAGCCTCCCCTGAGTGATAACGGCCTGGGACCGAAACCGACGGACCTGGACCGGCAAAAATGACGGCCGCGACGCCCTCTCGCGAACGGAAAACGGCCAATTCGCTCATCGACGTGTCGGGGTGGTAGGTCTATCCACCTCCGAGTCTTGCCGGCGCCGGCCCGCGGCGACTTCCCCGCCCCGCGCCGTGCCGAGAGCGCGTCCTGCGCCCTTCTGCCAGCGCGGTGCACCTGGGGCCGGCCCGGCGGGAGGGCGCGGGGCGGAGCGGCGCGCCGCCAGAGGTCACGCCGGCGGGTGCGCGTCGCGGCGGCCCACGGCGGTGGTCCCTGGCACCGCGTGGGTCGTTCCGCCCTGGACTGATGGGCCTGTTCTCCACCACCCCCAGCATAAGCTGGAGGGGGCAGGGAGGACGAGGAGGAGGAGGAGGACGAAGAGGAGGAGGAGGAGGAGGAGGAGGAGGAGGAGGAGGAGGATGACCCCCTCCCCCTCCAACTTATGGTTGTGGTGGTGGTGGAAAACAGGCCCATCATGAACGATCGTCGGTTTTTCGATAGCTGCATCGTTCCACACTGGCCGATTCTGGGCCACTGGCGGCATTCAACCTTTTGAACACCCACGGAGGTTTGCTGCCGCGTCAGCACGACGCGAATCTGCCGTGCTCGTGCAGGCAGTTCCCTCCCTGCCCTAGGGTTCCTTTCTGAGCCCCGTCTGCGTCGGAGCCAATGCGATCACCGAAGGGACTCGTGATCGAGCCCGCTCGGCTGCCGAAGAGGCCAGACTCCCACCAAACTTTTGGAATTGAGCCTGCTCCTGCTCTGCTGCCGGCTCGGCGGCTGAATGGGGTCATAAGCCGCATGGACTCGGAGATGAACCATGGAACAAATGTCTCCAAAGTCTCCCTGGGTCTTGGGAGTCAAGAGCAATTTCCACAAACCCAAATAAGGCAAACACGAGCAGACACTCCTATCCTCGATTCTTCTCGTCGGACCTCAAAAACGATAAAACCCACACTTCCGACGTCCTGATTTGCTCACGTCGTGAACCTCTCGGCCCCTTCCCGTGCCAATGTTTCGTCCCGGGTCGTTCTGCAACGGTCCGAAGGCGCGGACGTGGCCCCGGGGGCCGAAACTCAAACAACAAATCCATCTGGACGTGTTCGTCAGGGCGGAGGTCAGGGGACGGCCACTCCCGAAGAATCACTCCTGGAACACCAGGGGTGCGCTTTGACGCTTCGACCGACATGTCTAAGGGGAGTCCTGCCGTGGCGACGGGACGCCGCCCTGGGGCAGAGCAATAAAACAGACACAAACAAGACACAAGCATTGAGTCTTGGATGGGAGAGAAATGAAGAAGGCGGAGAAGTAGAAAGAGGAGGTAGATAGATAGAGCGGCATTGGGGGGCAAGGCAGTGCATGCATCTTAGAAAGAGGAGGAGGAGGAGGAGGAGGAGGAGGAGGAGGAGGAGAAGGAGAGGAGGAGGAGGAGGAGGAGGAGGAGGAGGAGAGATAGAGGAGGAGGAGGCGGAGGAGGAGGAGAGGAGCAGGAGCGAGGAGGGAGGAGGAGGGGAGGAGGGAGGAGGCGGAGGAGGAAGGAGAGGAGGAGGAGGAGGAGGAGACGAGGAGGAGGGGAGGGAGGAGGAGGAGGAAGGGAGGAGAGGAGGAGGAGAGGAGGAGGAGGAGGAGGAGTTATCCCTCTTCCTCGTCCTCTTCGACCGCTCCCCGACCCTCGATCGATCTCCGTCCGCAGCCCCCTCCCTCGACGGGCCGGTCCTGGCTGCCCGCCCTCGGTCGACCGAGCAGCGCCCCTCGCCGTCGATCCTCGATCGATCGATCCTCTGCCTCGCCTCCGATCCCAGGGGAGGGGGAGGGGGAGGAGGAGTAGAGGAGGAGGAGGAGGAGGAGGAGGAGGAGGAGGAGGAGGAGGAGGAGGAGGAGGAGGAGGAGGAGGGAGGAGGGAGGAGGGAGGAGGGAGGAGGGGAGGAGGAGGAGGAGAGGAGGAGGAGGGAGGAGGAGGGAGGAGGAGGGAGGAGGAGGAGGAGGAGGAGGGGAGGAGGAGGGGGAGGAGGAGGAGGAGGAGGAGGAGGAGGAGGAGGAGGAGGAAGAGGAGGAGGAGGAGGAGGAACCTGCGACGACCCGATTCATGCGAGTCTCGCTCGAAGCCCCCCGAGCCTTTCCCCACAGCTGCTTCCCCATCCAGCTCGAAAGCGCGACGCAGGCTGCGGCGGGGCCTGAACGGGGCATTGTGCCCGCACGCGCAGAGGGAATTCATGTATGGGAGATGTCCGACCGCCGCGAACGCCCCCCCCCCCCCCCTTAGAACCCTAGCAAAAGGACTGCAAAAGGACTGCCGTGCGGGATCGCGGGATCGCGAAATCGCCCACACAATCCCGACGCTCAAAACAATGGTTTCCACAATCCCGCGTCATTGCGCAAATGTCCCGCGAAGTCCCAGGACGCCGATCAATGCTTAGGGTCGACACCCACCATCATCCCCAATATTGACCATCATCCGTGTTTTTCCACTGCCGTGTGCTCTGGCGCAAGTTTGGAAGGACGTAAAGGAGGTGGGGTTGGCAGGAACATCGCTTTACACGGCCCCTGGGAGAAGGAAGTGTGAGCATCCAGCTGGGTTCACCCAGTGTGAGCATCCGGCTGTACGAACCCCCGACAAGTGCGCCCTGCCGCGACGCCTCTGGAGCGCCGATGACGGCTCGTCATCGACGCTCGAATCATCATCTCCGACATTGGCAATCATCCTTTTTCTTCCGCTGCCGCGAGTTCCGGCTCGAGTGCGCCCTGCCGCCAATGCGCTCTCCTTGCCGGCAGGGATGGCGTCTGCGCCTGACAGGGCGAAAGGGCCCTCGTCTCTTTCTTTCCAGCGCGCGCTGGCGGCGGCGTGCGAACGAGCGCCGTGGAGATCGGCCAGGGGGGAGCCGGGACCCCCGCATGGCCTCCAGGGGCTCACGTCTGGTGGACGTCGAGACCTTGACCTGAGAGCCTCGACAGAGCCTCCGCGTTGGCCGAGGCTCCGCGACGACGACGACGATGAAGACGACGACGACGACGAAGACGACGACGACGATGACGACGACGACGAGGACCCCCTTTCGCCACGTGCAGCATGGGCCTGCCAAGTTTTTGAAGCTGTGGCAGGACAGCGGCGGTGGGACGCGTGCTTCCTGCTGCCCCGGCACGGCCTGGTCCTGGAGCCCAGAGCTGGCCTCCACTGGCCGAGAGTGCCGCAACATCGCAGGCTCGATGCTTCCGAGTCTGCGGGGGTCTGGGGCCCACAGTCAATCGATCGACGATCCATGGCGATGCTCGGTCGATCGATCCTCAATCCTCGTTCCCCTCCCTCGATCCAGATCTACGACCGCTCGATCTTGTCGTGCCTCGGGGCCTCCCAGGCGGCCTTTTGACGGCCACTGGGCACGAATACAGCCACAAGAGTCCGAGAATGCAGAATGGTCTCAGATCCAAGTCTTAGGTCGGCCATGTCCCCCCTACAGGCGGATCTTGGACGAAAAATTAAGAATACCGAAGAAATATCTAGAAATGGCCAAACATAGTCGAAAAATCGTCCCCTGACTATTTTTGGACTATTTTTGAATCTTCCGCCTGTAGAGGGACAGGCTCGACTCAATCCAAGTCCCCAGGGGTCTAGGTTCGGCGGTCAAAAGCTGACTCCCACACGCCGCTTGGGGAGCCAGAAAGTCGAGGCGGATCCAGCCGTGGCGACGAGGGGTCTGCAGAAGACTCCAAGAAGTCCACACTCTTGCTCCTGGAACCTCGAACCTCGAGCTTCGAGGTCTGGGGTCCTCGAAATCGTTCCCCGGACCCCTCCTGGGGCTCCGCCTGGCCGGTTTCTCTCCCCCGATCGATTTCTGACGGCCCCAGGTCCCGAAACGGGCCTCCAGAGGCCGAATCCGGACGAACATTTGGAAACACATGCAAACACACACACACACGTGTATATATATATATATATACATACAAGACTGCATTGGCGCTTCGCGCCATGCACCTTGGTCCTGGCAGTTTGGTGTGCAGGCGGAATAGCAGGAAGGTCGAGCCGACAATTTAGCGATAACTCCTTGTTGCCTTTTCTGGCATCGGCGCTATAATAATCTTATTCGTTGTCCTTCCTCCATGCTTCTTTTTCTTCATTTTCGCCATACCCTGCGCATTCTCCCCATCCTCCGCAGCTCTTTTTTGCGGAGGCTCCTCCTTGGGAAGCCTCTGGGGGCCTCGCAAAAGTTGTTTCAGGCTTTCTTAAGGCCTTCTGGAGGCCTCCTGGGCGTATTCTGGGGGCCTCTGGGGGCTTCCTCGGGCCACCCTGCCTCCAACCGCGGTCTCCCTGAACGACCGGGTCACGATTTGGAATGCTTCGGAGGGTGTCTTGGGGCCATCTTGAGCCGCCATGGGGCTCTCTGAGGGCCATCTTGGACCCGTGTTGTGCCGTTTTGGGGCTCTCTTGGACTGCCCGGAAGCTCTTTCGGATGGTTGTGGGGCGATTTTGGGCCTCCCAGGCGGCTTCGGACACCCAGAAGACCGCCGTCTTGGAGCGTCGGGAAGCCGAAAAGAGGATAACCCCCAAATTCACCAAACGCCAACAGAAAATGACGGATTTTTGCCTCTTGGGGCCTTCTTGGGAGTGCTCTTGGAGGCCTCTTTGGGACCGTCCTGGAGGCCTCTTGGGCCATCTGGAGGTCACGTCGGTCACTCTTGGAGCGCTCTTGTGCCGTCTTGGGGGTCTCTGGGACGTCTCCGATGGCCCCCCTGATCGCCTTAGGTGTGCTGGGAAGGCTTGGCAAAACGCCCTGCGAGGCCAGGGGGGCCGCTTCGAAGCCCGTCCAGAGGGTCCCAAAGCCCCAGATCCAGGGAGTCCGGTGTTTGGGGGGGGGGCCCTTTCGCGTTCCGCCCGGATTGTACAAATATATCAAAGGGAACATGTCTTGTCCTCGAGGGAGGAGGAGGGGGGAGGAGGAGGGGGGCGGGGAGGAGGGAGGCTGGAGGAGGAGGAAGATAGGAGGAGAGAGGAGGAGGAGGAGGAGGAGGAGGAGGAGGAGGATGAGGAGAGGAGGAGGAGGAGGAGGAGGAGGAGGGAGAGGGAGGAGGGAGGGAGGAGAGGAGAGGGAGGAGGGAGGAGGGAGGAGGGAGGAGGGAGGGAGGAGGGAGCAGGGAGGAGGAGGGCCGAGGATCCTTGGTCGATCGATCCTCGGTCGATCCCACCCTCGAGGCCGGGCCCCAGACGCCAGCACCGCCGCGCCTGCCACGTGCAGCGCGCCCTCGCCTCCGAGCCGCTCTGGCCAGCGCGGGCCGAGGCCCGTCGCGAGCGCCTTGCGCGCGCGCGCCGAGGCTCGCGCGCGCGGGGCTCCGAAGGGGGGCGCTCGGCTGCGGCATCCGTCGGCAAGGCCCTCCGCGAAAGCAAGCGCAAGCCTGTCCAAACCTCCTCCACCTCCTCCCCTCCTCCCTCCTCCTCCCCTCCTCCTCCTCCTCCTCCTCCTCCTCCCTCCTCCTCCTCCTCCTCCTCCTCCTCTCCTCCTCCTCCTCCTCCTCCTCCTCCTCCCTCCTACCTCCTCCCCCTCACCTCCTCCTCCTCCTCTCCTCTCCTCCTCCTCCTCCTCCTACCTCCTCCTCCTCCCAGGCCCCGCCCTCCGCCCGCTCCCCCCCCCCCGGGGTCGCCCCTCACCGGATGTCAACGTTCAGCGACGCGCGCAACACGGCCCGCGGGGTCCGGCGAGAAAGATGTATGTCGCCAGGTTCGGCGCGAACAGAGACGTAGACGGCACAGGGGTGCCACCACGCTGCGGAACCAATGATTGCGTTCGATTTCTTGGAGGTGTGTAAGCAAGAACGACCTTTGGTGGGCGGCTTTCGGGGGCGGGTGGGCAAATCCAAGCGCGCATGCTAATGCTGCGGGGACCCGTGTGGGCCCACACCGAAAGGTCGCTCCGGCGAAAAATCACTCTTACGTGTACTTACGTAGCCGACCCTGGCGCTAAAAAAAAAACGAGGCGGCTGGCATCCCGAGCCTCGAACCAGTCGAGGCGGCCAGCTCGTCTAGATTATGTGGAACCCCTGGAGGTCTGCTTCGGGCCCCGGGGCCATCGTTCAGACGCCTCGGGGCGACGACACCTGGCCCCCGTGCAGCGGCCGAGAAGTCCGAGGGGCCATCCCGAACACTTCCGAACGGGGGAGGGGAAGAAGCCTCAGGGCTCCCGCCCGAGTCCGTTCGAGCTCTGGGCCCGCTCAGATGCCGAGCGAGCCGCCGAACGGGCTCGACCCCAAGAGTCGGCGGTGGACGAACCTCCCTTCAGTAAACCTCCCCTGAAGGAAAACGGCCTGGGACCGACACCGACGGACCTGGACCCGCAAAAATGACGGCCGCGCCGCCCTCTCGCGAACCGAAAGCGGCCAATTCCTCAATCGACGTGTCAGGGTAGGAGGCCTGCCCAACCCCGAAAGAGGGCGGCGGGAACATGGCCCCAGCGGCGGCCGATCGGGGCCGGGGCGGCCGACGCGGCCTGGGGCGATCCCGAGGAGGCCGCTCGGCGGCCGGAGTGGCTCGGACGCCGACCGGGCGCGGAAGGGAACCCTAAGGGGAGGGGAGGACGGGCTCAGAGGCGTACACGTCGTTCGTTTCCTGATCGTGCTCGTTTCTGAGTGTGTTCGTCTCTAAGTGTTCCTGGCCCCCTAGTGGCCAGGCAGAGGCCCAGGAAAGGATCTTGCCCCCCCCCCAAAAAAATCAAGTAACTTTCGAAGAACTAGAAGTGAACAATGTGTAGTCGGGTGCAAGGTCGGGACCTCACTGGTAGGAACCCTGGGCAGGGCTGAACGCATGGGGGGAACCTGATTCAGGATCTAAAGACGAGGAGGGCATCGAACCCGCGGTCCTGTCCAGGCAAGCGTCAGCTCAATGGTCGTACTACTGGTGTAGGGAACTGGCGAAGGGGAGTGAAGGGCTTGACATGATTTCACGACGCCACCAGTAATATTGGGTTTATGGTCCAGAAGCTGCTGGACTTGGGGAATGTCCCTGGTAGCCTGACGATGCGAGCCCGTGTCAACAGCCTCCGCTCCTGCGGCATGCTCCTCTGGGCTGGCCTCACCTTCTCTGCGTTTCGCTGCTGTCGTCGCACTCGCGGGATTGACTCCAACCCAGGAAGAATATCATCGTCCCTCCCCCCTCCTCCCCAGAGATCCGATGTCGTGTTTTTTTCAATACGGGGTCCCCGGAAGTCTCGACCCATTCCCCAGGACCGGCTTTTCATCCTGAGTCATTGTTTGACGGTCCCGGAGCCCGGCGAGGGCCGCTAGAGGCCGAACATCTAGAAAAACCTCCGTCTTGATTTTCCCCAACCCTCCTTGGTTGGGTATTCGTTTTGAATAAGGGACTGTGGTCTCCACCTTCCTTCCTCCCGCCTCCCTCCCTCCTCCTGCGTCCTGCTTCCTGCTTTATTCCCAACCCTCCTTGGTTGGGTATTCGTTTTGAATAGAGCTCTGGTCGCGCGTCTCCTCCCGCCTCCCTCCTGCCTCCTGCCTGCCTCCTCCTGTCCTGCCTGCGGGAGGCTGCGATCTGTGAAACTGTCGCCACTTTCGAGGCCTGCTGGGGGGCCCAGCACAGTGACGCCATGCGCGGACCCAAATTAGACCTCGCCATCCCTGGGGGGCTGCGATCTGTGAAACTATCGCCACTTTCGAGGCCTGCTGGGAGTCCTGCGGAGTGAGGCACCGCGCGGATCTGAGCAAGACCTCGCCGTGCCTGGGGGGCTGCGATCTGCGAAACTGTCGCCACTTTCGAGGGCTGCTGGGGGGCCCAGCATAGTGACGCCACGCGCGGACCCCCCAAATTAGACCTCGCCGTGCCTGGGGGGCTGCGATCTGTGAAACTGTCGCCACTCTCGAGGGCTGCTGGTGGGTCCAGCGGAGTGAGGCACCGCGCGGATCTGAGCAAGACCTCGCCGTGCCTGGGGGGTTGTTATCTGCGAAACTGTCGCCACTCTCGAGGGCTGCTGGTAGGTCCAGCGGAGTGAGGCACCGCGCGGATCTGAGCCAGACCTCGCCGTGCCTGGGGGGCTGCGATCTGCGAAACCGTCGCCACTCTCGAGGGCTGCTGGTGGGTCCAGCGGGGTGAGGCACCGCGCGGATCTGAGCAAGACCTCGCCGTGCCTGGGGGGCTGCGATCCGCCAAACTGTGGCCACTTTCGAGGGCTGTTGGTGGGTCCAGCGGAGTGAGGCACCGCGCAGATCTGAGCAAGACCTCGCCGTGCCTGGGGGGCTGCGATCTGCGAAACTGTCGCCACTTTCGAGGGCTGCTGGTGGGTCCAGCGGAGTGAGGCACCGCGCGGATCTGAGCAAGACCTCGCCGTGCCTGGGGGGCTGCGATCTGCGAAACTGTCGCCACTTTCGAGGGCTGCTGGTGGGTCCAGCGGAGTGAGGCACCGCGCGGATCTGAGCAAGAGATCTCCGGCGACGCTGCTGAAATCTGCGAAACCGTCGCCACTTTCGAGGGCTGCTGGTGGGTCCAGCGGAGTGAGGCACCGCGCGGCTGAGCAAGACCTCGCCGTGCCTGGGGGGCTCGATCTGCGAAACTGTCGCCACTTTCGAGGGCTGCTGGTGGGTCCAGCGGGCACCGCGCGGATCTGAGCAAGACCTCGCCGTGCCTGGGGGGCTGCGATCTGCGAACTGTCGCCACTTTCGAGGGCTGCTGGCGGGTCCAGCGGAGTGAGGCACTGCGCAGATCTGAGCGGGACCTCGCCGTGCCTGGGGGGCTGCGATCTGCGAAACTGTCGCCACTTTCGAGGGCTGCTGGTGGGTCCAGCGGAGTAGTGAGGCACCGCACGGATCTGAGCAAGACCTCGCCGTGCCTGGGGGGCTGCGATCTGCGAAACTTTGGCCACTTTCGAGGGCTGCTGGTGGGTCCAGCGGAGTGAGACACTGCGCAGATCTGAGCAAGACCTCGCCGTGCCTGGGGGCTGCGATCTGCGAAACCGTCGCCACTTTCGAGGGCTGCTGGTGGGTCCAGCGGAGTAAGGCACCGCACGGATCTGAGCAAGACCTCGCCGTGCCTGGGGGGGTGCGATCTGCGGAATTGTCGCCACTTTCGAGGGCTGCTGGTGGGTCCAGCGGAGTGAGGCACCGCGCAGATCTGAGCGGGGCCTCGCCGTGATCGGGGGGCTGCGATCTGCGGAACTGTCGCTTTCGAGGGCTGCTGGCGGGTCCAGCGGAGTGAGGCACCGCGCGGATATGAGCAAGACCTCGCCGTGCCTGGGGGTTGTGCGATCTGCGGAATTGTCGCCACTTTCGAGGGCTGCTGGTGGGTCCAGCGGAGTAGTGAGGCATCGCACGGATCTGAGCGGGACCTTGCCGTCCCTGAGGGGCTGCGATCTGCGAAACTGTGGCCACTTTCGAAGGCTGTTGGTGGGTCCTGCGGAGTGAGGCACCGCGCAGATCTGAGCGGGACCTCGCCGTGCCTGGGGGGCTGCGATCTGCGGAATTGTCGCCACTTTCGAGGACTGCTGGTTGGTCCAGCGGAGTGAGGCACCGCGCAGACCTGAGCGGGGCCTCGCCGTCCTTGGGGGGCTCTGGAGAGCTGCTGCGGGATGCGTTAGGCGCAACGGGTGCATGGCACAACCCACGGGGGTGATTTGTGAAACAGGCCATCTGCCGGGCGATGGCCATAACGTTGCGCCTACAGGTATTCCGCGGGGGCTCTCAAGAGCTGTTGTGGGATACGTTGGGTGCAACGGGCGCATGGCACAGCCAACGGGGGTGATTTGTTATTGCGTAGCCCTTAGATGTTGATCGGGGGCCTGCGAGCCTTCCGATTGCTGCTCGCAAAATCACACGCGTGCAGGTTACTTCATCGCCCCCGTTGTAGCAATCCTGATGTACATATGCCCCGTATTGCGCAAGGGTTGGGTACGTCGCCAAGGTAAATTCGATGCGTCGGAGGTCTGGGTCTCTCCCCCGTCCCCCGCCCCCCTCTCGTAGGGCGCCCTCGTGTGCCCTCTCGGGCGCACTCGTGCGGACGCTTCCCGAGCGCCCTCGTGGGCGCGCCACGGGCGTGCGCGCCCCCTCGGGGGGGGGGGTTCTCGCGGGCCGACCTCGGGGCCTCTCGCCGCCCTCCCCCCCGCGCGCCCGCGAGCGCAGATTGCAGAAGGGAGGGCGGAAGGGGGGAGCGGGAAAAGAGAGAGAGAGAGAGAGGGAGGGAGGGAGGGAGAGAAGGGGGTAGGAGAGGAAAGGGTGGGGGGGAGGAGGCAGCAGCAGCAGCAGCAGCAGCAGCAGCAGCAGCAGCAGCAGCAGCAGCAGCAGGAGGAGGAGGAGGAGGAGGAGGAGGAGGAGGAGGAGGAGGAGGGGGTGGGGAAGGAGGAGATGAAGGAGGAGGAGGAGGAGGAGGAGCAGGAGGAGGAGGAGGAGGAGGACGGGTCGCCTAGGCCCTTCGGAGGAACCCTCCAGTATGACGCGCTGCCTCTGCGCAAGGGTAGCAAGTCTGTGAGCAAGCCAGCTCTGCTGTAAACCGAGCGGCACTCGCGACTCGCGATTAAAAAGGGGCTTGGTTCTGCGCAGGGATAACGCGGGGGCGAACACAGGAGAGCAGCTCAAAGGGGAACAAAAAAGGGCCTGGGTTCGACGATGCATCGCAGTCGAACCAGCGATAGACCCCCAATCCCCGATCGGTGATGAATGAGCGAGGAGTCGGGGTCGAGTGTTCCCGCAGATCTAATCCCCCTTTCGCCCCCCCCCCCCCCCCGAAGGGAGCAGCCCAGTGTGGAAATAATTCGGCAGAGCGGTGGAAGGCGATAAGAAATGTGGAGGAGGGAAGAGCGCGGCAAATGAGAAGGTAAGAGCGTCATTCCGATGACAGAAGGCGTTCCAAAAGGGCAAGCACGCGCGAACCTAGCAAGAAAAGAACGGGAAGCGCCGTCCCTTTGGGCTGCTTTGAGGCGCTCAAAGAATGAGTCCAATACGATGTTCGTTCAGAGTCCCAGTGGAAGTTATTTGTTTGAGGATGTCTCGAGCGAAACGGCCAGGGGAGCAGGAGGACAACGAGGAGTAAGACAAGGATGAGGACGAAGAGAACAGGGAAGACAAACACCAGGAATAATGCGGAAGGCGACCCAAGGAGGCGGATGAGGAGACTGAAAGCGCGGAGGACGGGGGAGGACAGCGAGGGGGAGCAAGAGGACAACGAGGAGGAAGACACGGACAGAAACAAGGAAGAGACCAGGGAGGACGAGCACGATGGAGAATGAGGAGAAGGAAGACGACGACGAAGGAGTGCAGTCAGGAGCACAAGGAGACCGGCGTCGAAGAAGGTGGTGTCCTGGTGACCTTTTGGGGCGTCCCTGGGGATCTCTGGGGCCATCTTATGCCACACCCACATACCCCACCCGCCACTAACCAAAAGTCATTGTGGCGACGTGGTGGGGGGGGGGTTCACAGTGGGCAGACACGATAAGAAATCGGAACATTCCCTAACAAACTGCTTGCACGTATGGGTTCCCACTTGTGTTCTAAAGTATCTGGGCCCTGCTGGTCTGGCTGGCTCGTCGCCGCCCGTCGCCGCCGTCGCCGCTGGGCCCCAACAATTGCCTGGCCAGCTCGTCACCGCCCGTCAACGCAATGCCTTGATTTCCCTTGCGACGCGTTGCGATGCATGGTTTTGAGCTGCTCTACGCTTGTTTGGCGCTGTTCCGCGATGCTTAGCATTGCTCTGCTCCACCTAGCTGGACCGCGCGGACCGCACCAGTTTCCAAAGGAGAACTAGGATCGACCCTCCCCCACAAGAATCATCCGCCCCCCTGCATTTGTGCAAATTACATGCGATTCAATCCCGTCGTCCATGTGTCATGCGGAATCGTACCATCCCAGCCAGGCGGGTTTTCCCCCGCGCGCGCACTCGTTCGTCAAAAACCATGTGTGTTCGAATTTCCCTTTCAAGAGAAATGGGCCAAATTCACGCGGGCGCGTCGTCGTGCGCGCATGCCGACATCCGTTCAACACATCAGTTTCGTAATAATCTCAAGATCGAGGTTCATAGAAGATCAGGGTGTTGCAACATCGCTTCTCAAATTATTCAGCGCGCGCTCTCTCGCGAATTCGTAAGCAAACCATAGGTTTCCAAAACGTGTTTCAAATTCGATCAAGCGGGCCTTTCGTGCGCCCATGCCCAAACCATTCGACACGATCCTTGTCAAATGACACCATGCGGGCCATTCGCGCCCGTCGGCCGCGCGCGCATGTCGAGATCCTTCCAGAACCGTCATCAAGGAAACATGGACACCATTATTGTCGTAGGCGTCATCAGCAGCGGCGCCGTCATTGGCGTTGCCGTCGTCAGTCATCGTCATCCTAGTCACCAATATCGCTACGATCATTCGTGTTTGACGCTGTCGACGTCGCCATAATACCGCGCCCACCTGAATCACAAACTCGCATTGAAGTCCCCGCGCGTCAGCGCGGCCTGCGAGACGCGATGGGAAGTCCCCAACGGTCAGCGCTACGGCGGCCGCGTCGGTAGCGACAGACTAGCTGGTCGCTTCTCGCGCGAGCCTTCGCGCACTAGCGCGGTCGCAGCGATACACCAAACAGCGCCAAGCAGTCATCGCAATCGCCGGCGCATGGGTTTTGTAAACCAAAATGCGGGCGGGTGGGTGGGATGGTTGCGCGAGCAATGGAGTTGACAAGTCCACGTTCTTCAAAATCAATTGCATCACCTAGAATGCATCGCATATATTGCAATGAGATCGCTGTTTGGGGTCCACGCTGGCAAACATAAGAGATCTAGGGGCACATCCTTCGTCGACTCTGAGCTTCATAAGGCGCTCCAGGGCTCTATGGAACTGGTTTAGGATAAGAAATTAAGGTGCCCGTTGGTAGGCCAATCTCTGATTTGGCGAGCCTGCTGTATAAGATGTCGGGCCCAGAGAGGTGGGGAGGGAAATTGAAGATGGAGGCGCACTCAATAGTCAATAGCTTGCCGCCTACCTGTACTTCGTGCACCACTCCGACTCTGGGTAATCTCGGCATATTCGCGCGACCGACTCCTCCTCGGTCTCGTTGCGGTGCGGCCCATCCTGCTCCGGGCCCTTCCACTCCTTCCGCCAGTCGCCTGTCCATGTCTCGCCATCCCTGTGCGTCAGATCACGGCGGAGGTCTTGGGCGCACCACTCCTCCCAGCACGTCGGGTCGTTCGGCGACGGGTCGTCCTCGTCCATCACGCCGTCCCCGTCGCTATCCTGTGTGGCGCCAGCAGAGATGTGGCGGGACGAGATGGCTTGGCCTTCCGAGGGGGCACCACGCCTCTTGGGTCTTGGGAGGCCCTCCTGCCGTCTGAGAGGGCTCCTCGGAAGGATCCAAGAACGGGCGGCATAGCCTCCCTGAGGCCGCCCTCCGAAAGCCCTGCCCCCTGCCCCCTTCTGCGTGCCGCCAGGTCCTTCGGGACGCAGGACATCTCCCAACACTTGGCGTCGTTGGGGGCCGGGTCGTCAACATCTGGCACGCCGTCGCCGTCGCTGTCCACGCACTCTTCGCGCCAACACTCGCGGTCATTCGGAGACGGGTCCTTGACGTCGGGCACTCCGTCCCCGTCACTGTCCACGCACTCCGCCTTCCAACAGGACCTGTCGTGCGGGGCCGGGTCCCTGGAGTCGGGGACGCCGTCGGCGTCGGAGTCTATGCAGGCCTCCTCCCAGCAATTGGCCTGGTGCGGGGCCGGGTCCTTGACGTCGGGGACGCCGTCGCCATCGCTGTCCACGCACTCCGGCTTCCAGCAATCCGGGTCCGCGGGTGCAGGGTCCTTGCGGCATGAAGGGAGCGGGTCCCGAGGAGACAGGCGGTGGACCCCGGGGCTTCCAGCTTTTCGCTCCGCAAGATCCTTTTTGACAGTCCGGGGGGCCCCCGAAGGCCGAGAACGCAGAGCGACCTCCAGGTCCCGGCTCCTCGGGCCCAACTCTTGCCTCATTGCAGTCCTTGACATCCGGGACGCCGTCTCCATCGCTGTCCACGCAGTCCCGCTCCCAGCACCTCGGGTCGTGCGGCGCGGGGTCCCTGACGTCGGGGACGCCATCCTTGTCGCTGTCCATGCAGGCTATCTCCCAGCACCTCGGGTCGTTCGGGGCGGGGTCCTCGCGGGGGCAAAGGGGTCTTCCAGCTGCGGTGAAATGTTTTTTTGACGTTGGGCAAACGTTGGCTTGCTTGAGCCGTCGCGTTTTGGTGGCATAAACCAGAAAATTGCTTTGCTTCGAGCGGCCGCCACCGAAACCTTAAGCGTTAGCTGTTCGTTCCCAACTGCGCACGGTCGCCCAATTGGTGGAACGCTACGCGCGGGGCCCTGTGGTCTCGGCCGGTGCGGCGATCAGGCCGGGTGGCGAATTCCGCTTTCCAAATCCAGCAAACACAGAACTCCTGACGAAAAAACATTGAAAGAAAGCCCCGGGGCGAACAACATCAAGCTTCGAACACGTGCGGTACGAAACGGATAGGGAGCCGCAGCCTGTTGAACGAGGAAGAGGAAGAGCATCAGCAGGAGGAGCAGGAGAGGGCAAGCGACGAAGGAGGAGGAGGAAGAGGAGGGAGGTGAAGCGGACCTCTCCTCCCCACTTGTCCTCCTCCACTTCCTCCCACCACTGCACAATTGCCGCTTCTGGATTCAAGAACGGTTCAACCGTGTTCCATTTAGTCACGTTCTTTCATGTTATGCTCCATTATGTCCTGTTCGTTCCTCGACGGGTCGGCGTGATGTCGTGACGCCTTCGACGTTAGATGCGTCGTCTGCTACGATGTTCCTCTTAACTACTATGTTTCTTTTCTGATTGAACATGAATGTTATGGTATGCTCATCTCTGTCACCAAACGACTTGATATGTCATGGTATGAGCTGCTCCACAGCACTATGCTATGACATAATGTCAGGTATGGTAAAGTATACTATGTTCGGTGATGCTGTTTACAGCTCCGACTGCACATTATGGTATGATCTGCTCTGCTAATATTCTTCGATATGATGTGCTGTCGTGCTCTGATATATTCTATGGTGTTGTCATCCTGATCTGATATGATCTGCCAGAATGTGTTGTACTATGCTCGGTTATGTTATGCTGTGCTGTGTTCTGTCGGTTTCGATTCTGACATGTTCTGCTCTGGTACGCTTTGTGATGTTCAATAGGTGAACGGCGCGGCTCTGTATAGTATAGCATGATTTGTTATGTTAGTATGTCGCTATGCTCTGCTGTCGTGGTATGATATGTTCTGCGATGCTGTGTGATGAGACTGTCAAAGCGTGCGATGGTATGCGTGTCATGTTGTGTTCTGTCGGTTTCTGTTATGTGATGGTCTGCTCTGGTATGTTATGTGATGTTATGCTCCAGTGTGTCATGCATTGGTATGGTATGTTCTGTTATGTTCTGCCATGCTAGTGTTTTGCTGTGTCGTGCTCGGTTGTGGCATGTTGTGCTCTGTCCTATTAGTCGTCGTTGTGGTTTGCTGTCGTGTTATGGTATGTTATGTGATGCTGTCATGATATGTTAGGTTATGCCAACGTGTGGTATGGTATGCCCGGCAATGTTATGTCATGTTGTGCTCGGTCGCTCTCTGTTATGGCATGGTCTGCTCTGGTATGTTCTGTAATGATATGTTTTTGACGGCTCGGCTCTGTATGGTATATGATGATGCGCCCTGCTAGCCTGTGTCTATGTACTCGGCTGCCGTGGTATGATACGATAGATTATACTGTGCCATGTTATGATAGGATGCGACAAGGTGTATTATGGTATGCTCGGTTCTGCTATGGTATGTTGTGCTCAATCGTCTCCGGTTCTGTCATGTTCTGCTCTGGTATGGTATGTGCTGCTCCGTTATGGCCTATGTGTCATGAAACTGCTATGTTCTGTGTTGGAATGTTCTGTTGCGCTCGTGCTCTGTTATGTCATGTTATGTTGTGTCATGTTGTGTTCTGTCGCGTTCGTCATCGATGTGCTCTGCTGTCGTGTTATGCTATGTTATATGATGGTGCGTCACGGTATGATAATATGTCAACGTGTGTTATGGTATGTTCGGTTATGTTTTGTCATGGTGTGCTCGGTCGTCTTCTGTTATGTCATGGTATGCTATGGTACGCCCTGTGATAGCTTACCATCTTGTCATGAAATTGCACTGGTCTGTTCTGTCATGCTCTGCCATGCTCGTGTTCTGAGGTGACATGTTCTGTTGTGTCATGTTGTGCTCTGTCCTGTTCGTCGTCGCTATGCTCTGCTGTCCTGTTATGTTATGTGATGCTGTGTCCTGATATGACACGTTCTGCCAAGAAGTGCTATGATACGCCCGGCAAAAATATGGTATGTTGGGTTATGTCGCCTTCTATCATTTCATGTTCTGATCTGGCACGTTCTGTGATGTTCTGTTATGCTCCACTTTGTCATGACATTGTTATGTTATGTTCTGTCAAATTCTGTCATGCTCTGTTCCGTTCTGTCATGGCATGTTCTGTCATGCAGTGTTCTGTCGTCGTCAAATGCGCGAGGCGGGACAGCCGGGACTCTCGGGGACCATCGGGACAACGTGGGGTGTGGCGGCCGCGGTATGCAGGGTGGGGTTGGCTGGGCGGCCTGTTCTTGAAATCTAGCAACCCCAACCTGTCGGGTGAGGAAAAATGTTCGGAGCGCAGCGATCAGTCAAATAAAAGTCAGGCCTGGGTACTACAGCAGCGCGCATCGGCGAGAACCGCGAGATGCAAGACAGTTGGAATCAGCAGAGATTCAGGAATATACTGCAGCGCCTGGGTGTGGCAAGGATGGCCCCCCCCCTGATCTATACCCCTCCGCTCCCCCATACATCTTCGAGGAATGGCCGACGTAAAGATGCCCTCGAGTACCGTGCGCGGTAACTACGCGGCGGGCGGCTCCACATCCACCGCATCATGTTCGAACCATTCCGCCTGGAGGTCGGTGCAGAGCCAAATAAAAGGTGCCCTCTGAGTTCCTCCACCACCTCCATCCCGCCCGCTCGTCCTCCTCCTCTTTGGATGCCATCAGTGGGGGTCATCGCTTGAAACTGCAGTCTTGGATGCCCTCACTGAGGGTCATCGCTTGAAACTGTGGCTGCCATCGCCGAGGGCAAAAGCGGTCACCACGCTCGCAACGGTCGACACGCACGGTGTGTTAGCGTTCCTAGTTCATCCACCTCCCCCACCATCCTCGATGTTCTCCTCCTCCTCCTCCTTCTCCTCCTCCTCCTCCTCCTCCTCCTCCTCCTCCCTTCGTACCCTCTCCTCCTCCTCCTCCTCCTCCTCCTCCTTCCAGTGGCGCGAGCTCCCGTCCTCGGTTGCATTCAGCAGCCTGCTGCGTGCCCTCATTCCAGACGGGCAGTGTGCACAAAAGCCGGTGGCCACAAAAGGCCGCCAGGCGTCCATGCCGATTGCGGAGCAACGCCCCCGAACTCGAGTGCAACAGCTTGGGGGGCGATGAAGCGATGTGGTGCAAGCTATGTGGCGCAGTCTGCTTGATGCCAGCCGACGCTGGCAGATCGGCATGCTGCGGCATGCGCGTCGCTAGCTCCCGGCGGCCGACTCGAGATGGGCGCAAGCCGAGCGGGCGCTGGAGTGCCGCCGACACGATTCATGCATCGCCACATGCAGACCTGCCAATCGGCGGAGGCGTCGCAGGTCGGCTACAATCCTGAGCTGCACCGCCAGAAGACAGGGGAAGAGAGGGAAGAACAAGAAGCAGCGCGGGGCGTAAAAAGCTGGCGACTAGCGCGGGGACGCCGAGAGACGCACCAGTTCTAGCAGGCTGCTCTGCTGGCAGCGCGACCAACAGGATCCTGCTCCACAGGGTCTTCTCTTAACCATTCATCTTCCATCCAACATATCGAAGGGCACGGCAGCAAGCGGCAATTCAGCCTGGTCGAATGTTGTTTAGCACACGATATACGAGAGGTACAAAAATGTACTTGTGCGTCTGCTTGCTCGTGGTTTCCCATGTGCGTTTCGACGCTCGGGCGCCGCCGCAGCTTCGAAACTCGCGGCCGCCGCGGTCAATCCGCGCCCAAACACACTTTGCACAATGCAACTGAATTCGCAGCATTGCTCTCGCTCTGGCGAGGCTCGGTCAGCACGAAGGAGGACTGACTACGAAGGATTACGATGCGAATGTTCTCTGTGGTTCGATGACAGCCCACACACACACACACACACACACACACGCCGCCCGCGTCCGGGAAGGCACGCGTGCAAAGGGTCCCCTTCACGGTTTCCCCCCGGGCCGTAGGCGACCCGAGGAGGAGGAGGAGGAGAAGGAGGAGGAGGAGGAGGAGCAGGAGGAGAAGGGAGGAGGGAGGAGGAGGAGGAGGAGGAGGAGAGGAGGAGGAGGGGAAGGGAGGAGAAGGGATGAGAAGGGAGGAGGCGGAGGAGGAGGAGGAGGAAGGAGGAGGAGGGGGAGAAGGAGGAGGAGAAGGAGAAGGGAGGAGGAGGAGGAGGAGGAGGAGAGGAGGAGGAGGAGGAGGAGGAGGAGAGGAGGAGGAGAGGAGGGAGGGAGGAGGAGGAGGAGAAGGAGAAGGGAGGAGAAGGGAGGAGAAGGGAGGAGGAGGAGGAGGAGGAGGAGGAGGAGGAGAAGGAGGAGGAGGGAGGAGGAGGAGGAGGGAGGAGGAGGAGGAGGAGGAGGAGGACGGGTCGCCTAAGCCCTCCGTAGAAACCCTCCAGGCCCCCCGGGCTCGCGTGCGCACGGCCCTCGGGCCCCTCTGCTCTGGGGGGCCGCTGGGGCCTGCCCGGATCGGCTTGGGCCACCTGTTGAGCAGGGACCGGCCGTCCCGGCACTCCTATAGTCCTACAACGAAGTGTTCTTAGAACCCCCAAACAGTTCTCAGAGCAATAGCAATGTTCTTAGAACATAAGCCAGATGTGACAAAACAAGACAGGCTCCGCCAGAAAGGTTCGAAAAACATGTCGTGGAAACCACAAAAGGGTTCTTAGAACATTGTTTGGTAGGGCTATAGGCGAGCCAGGACGCTTCGCCACTGCTTGAACCTGGGGCCAGGGCCTCCTCCCCAGAAGAAGAAGAATAAGAAGCAGCCCTGGTTTTATGATGCTCCTATCTACTTTAGCCTTGATCACCAGAATGTCGAGCACCAAGAAAACACCAACATTTGCAGGTTTTCACGTGTCGGGCCCGGAAGGCGATACTCGTTCGACACTGTTTCGATATTTTTGGGTGCTCGGAATTATTTGTGGGATTTCGTCCTGAAGTGCGAGGGGAGCAACGTAAGCCCAACTCAAGAAGAGGCCCCACGAGGGGGCAGGACGCCAAGATAGCCCGGCTCACTGGCAAGTGAGCTGCTCGAGCAACTCTGCGTGCGAACTCTGCCTCCTCCCCAGACCCCGCCCACCGAGTCATGAAGAAATCATGGCGGAAGAAGGCTTCTCGCTAGCGTCCATGTGTCGAGACCTCTGGGGTCGACGTTGTGAACAAAATCAGGACGTCGGGGGCCTGGGCCTGGCAGCATCCGATCAGGAGGGCAAAACACACCACATCAAATAGCTGATGTTAGGTCGGGCATGTCTTCCTGCAGGCGGATTTTGGACGAAAAATAAAAAATAGTCAACACATGTTCAGAGATGGTCGACCATAGTCCAAAACACGTCCCCCGACTACTTTCTTGTTTTAAACTATTTTTGGCTATTCCTCCCGTAGAGGGACACGCCCGACTTGGAGCCGATGCCTGGGGGCGCCGGGCGCACGGAGCCCGTGCGTGGAGGAGGGCGGCCGCTCGTGCCCTCTGCGCGCGCGGGGGACGGGCCGCTGGACGCCAGCAGCGCTCGGCGGGGCAACGCCAGGAAGCGCCATTTTAGGTCGGGCATGTCCTTCTACAGGCGGATTTGGGAGGACAAATAGAACATTCTCAAGACAAATACTCAAAAAAAGGTCAAACAATCGCCCCCAGACTTTTTTACTATATAAGTGTATATATATAGATATAACTACTATATAACTATTTCTGAAAATTCCCCCTGTAGAGGGACACGCCCGACTTAATCCTACCTGAGACGAGCAAGAACAACTCCGACCGAATCGGGTCCCTGAGATCCGTCGGTCCTGGAGGATGCTTCGGCCGCCGCGGCCGTTCCAGAGCGAACGCTCTGGAGCTGTTGATCCGGGGCCCTGGAGACCTCGTGCAGGAGGCCGGAGACGAAGGGGCCCGATGGTCGCAACGCATCGCGGATACCTCGGCGCCGTCGAGATCTCTGGATCGCGCCGCATCGATGATGATTTGCGATGCGGCGATGCGGCGCGATCCTCCACGCTCATCTGCTCCAGCCCCATATGCGGAGAGGAGGAGGACGAGGAGGAGGAGGAGGAGGAGAAGGAGGAGCCCAGCGTACCAGAGGAGGACAAGGAGGAGGAGGAGGAGGAGGAGGAGGAGGAGGAGAGAAGGCCCATCTGGGTATCCTGGGGCCCAGATACTGGCCGAAACTAGCGCCCTCTCTCCCCCAAACGCCGACTCCAGCACCCCCCGCGTGGTGGAGGTCGACCGTTGTTTCGGCCAGCTCCCACCTTGACGTGCATTTTTCCAGGATGGGCCCCCTCTCATTGGTGGACTGGGCGTCTCGGAGCCCGAATCCCGTCCTTGTAGTCTGGCACGCCGTCCCCGTCGCTGTCTGGTGGCAAGTTCGGATCCTTCCACTTCTTCCGGTCGTCGGGGAAGAAATCGCTGTCGTTCGGGACCCCGTCCCCGTCGCGGTCGGCGTCCTCGGAGGCCCCCGCCCATACGATCTGGCTCCCACGGCCATCATCCGACCGGGCTGCACCCGATCTGGCTCGCATCCGACCTGGCCCCCTCCGCTATCATCGGAGGCTCACCCGGCGCCTCCGCCGATCTGGCTGCACAGCATCCCCGTCGCCCCCCTCCCCCCCGCCTGGGGGAGAGGGGCTGTGAAACGGGCGGGGGGAAGAGAAGGAGAAAAAGGGGGATAATGAGGAGAACGTGGGAAGGATAAGCAGGATCATTCCGAGGGCGACGCACAAGAGAGAAACATCAAACAGAAGTAGGAGGGGAAGGAGGGGGAGAAGGAAGGGTCTGCGCCCAAGCGATTCCGGCGAGTCCGCCCGAAAGCTCGCAGCGAGGCCTCGGCGATGTTGCAATGCTCGAGGCAGGCCCTGAAGTGACAACTTTGAATTGATTTCTCAGGTGCTCGGTGAGCACCCTTTGCGATGCACTTCCTCACCCGCGCCTTCACTGGCAAGGTACACCTCTGCGCACGCGCGACACGAGGTGCATCGGGCGAACGTGCAAGCCAATCGGACAGAGTCCGGCCCGCCAGCGGGGGCGTGCCGGCCCCTCATGCGTTGAACGACGCCACCACGTCGAGCCAGCGACCTCGTTGGCTGGTCGCTGGCGATGATGCTCGCTGCAGTCATCTCGGGGGGAACGAAATAGGGGGATAGCAAAGGGCAGGGTAGAGCATCAGCTGACGTAGCTGATTCTCCCAGCGCCTCCCAGCGCCGGGAGGCGCCCATCTATCGAGGAATGGGCCCGGCGGTGGGGCCGAAACCAGCTGCACGCAGCAGATACCGTACCCCCCCCTTGCCCCACCCCCCCCTTTCGTTCGGCCCGATCACCGCGGCACCAAGAGGAGCATCTCGGAACACCGCGTAAGGAACAAAAGGCGCCTTTCTGACCACAGCAAGCCTCGGCCTCGAAGGGGGTCCCCGACCTAGATAGACAGCGCAGCCCGAGAACCAGAGCCCCAGCTGAGCCCGAGATGGCCCTCACTTCAGTGCCTCTGAGCATCGTTTAACCGATCCCCATCCCCAGCGGCGTGGCCTGGGCCCCACTGGCCGATTTACCCTCCCGGATGGGAGTATAGGCCGTTCCCTTCGGGTTTCGAGGGGTGTATCCCCAACTGGGGTGGTAATTTGGTGGGGGTCTCGAAAGGGATGAGGATGGGGATGGGGGGAGCCGGTTAAACGATACTGAGCCTCGACTGCCAAAGTTCCGTTTCGAGTGCGGCGCGATCACTGCGGCAGCCCTGCAGCAGCCTGTCGGTGGAGACCTGGCTCGGCGGTTCGGGCGGGACGCCCTCTGCTCTGTCGTGGTGTCGCCGACCTCCGCGTCGCACGAAGCCCTCTGCCCAAATGAGCGTCCTCAAGGAGATCGACTATCGAGGAGCCGTGTCAGATCCCGAGAGATACACGGTGGATCAACCTTGGACGTACGGCCGTCACTTGGGCGAACTATGCAACTTGAGCCAGAAATGGCCGCGGAGAAGCGGGACGGATGGAGGGTGGATCTGCGAGTGCGCCACCTTTCCACCACACCGATCCTGCCCAAGCCCAGCCAGGGCCCAGGATCGGCCTAATTAGGAACGATCGTCGTCCGAGGATGGTGGAAGAGGCAGGCGAATGGGATGAGAAGAAAACTCGGAGAGCAGACGAGCTGGCGGGCGGGTGCAGTGGCCATATTTTCCCGTCCTTATTGTCGCCCACGCCGTCTCCGTCCAGGTCAGACCACTCCGTCGGGTCCACCGGGAAAGCGTCCTGGTCGTTGGGTATGCCGTCGCCGTCCCTGTCCAAGTCCTTGTTATCGCCAATGCCGTCTCCGTCCACGTCTCCCCACTCCGAAGCGTCACTCGGGAAAGCGTCCATCGTGTTGGCGACGCCATCCCCGTCCCTGTCGAGGTCTTTGTTGTCGCCTACGCCGTCCCCGTCCATGTCCTGCCACTCTGTGGCGTCATCTGGGAACGCGTCCTCATGTGGCTGCGGAGTCTGCGAAGTCAAGGGCTCCTTGCCATCCCTCTTCCCCCTTTCGGGGGAGGTGGGTGGGGATGGAGGGTGGAAGCGGAGATGAGATCACGAGAGCTGCGTTTGGCCTCACAATATTGTCCTCGGAGTCTGGCACGCCGTCTCCGTCGCTGTCCTCGTCCTTGTTGTCACCGATGCCATCCCCATCGGTGTCCTGCCATTCGCGCGGGTCGTTGGGGAACTTGTCCCTGTCGTTCGGGACACCGTCACCATCCCTATCAGGATCGCGGTTGTCACCAATTCCGTCTTGGTCGATGTCAGACCACTCTGTCGGGTCGTCGGGGAAATCGTCGACCTCGTTGTTCACTTCGTCTCCATCCATGTCGTCATCCTTCCAGTCTGCAATGCCATCACCATCCATGTCGTCCTCGGCAGGAACGCCCTCGGGCTCTGGAAACAAGTGGATTCTGTCTGCGAGACCGCAGAACTCGTCCATAGCAGGCTTATGGCTACCCGCGCACTTATCCTGCGCGCCGAGAAGAAACTTGTCGCATATTCCCCTGCCCGTCGACTCCTCTGGAGCAAACCGTCATTACACCAACCAGCGCATTCTCCGCTCACCTTCCGCCTCCCACCCTCGTTCCCGAGGAGAGAAGAAAAAATGGGGAGGAATGAACTGGACTGCAGGTCGCAACGACGGTGTACTATCCTTGAGACACCGCAGCGCCAGGAACAGCAGACACTCCTGATGCTCCCACACGTTGACGCGCGACCAGCACAGCTCGGCGCGCATCGTGTTGATCGAGCTCATCTTTGGACGCTGCTCGGCCGCCTTCTTGATCTCTGACATCTTCTCCTTGAACTGGTCCCAAGGGCTGTCAGGGCCGCGCCGCGCATGCCGAGAGACGCCTGCAAGAATCCACCGCGCCAGACGGTCACAACTATTGTCCCCCATGTGATCGCGGTCCACACCCGTATGGAACGAAACATGCCCAGAGATCCGCTACCACGGTGGCAGCGTGGACAGAAGCAACCGTGAAGACTGCTCGGTCGACGCGGGTCTTCGGAGGTCCCCGGCATCCCTCAGCGGTCCCTGGGGGGGGGCTCCTGGAACTCCCGCGGTGGGGCTCCGGAGGCCTGTGGAGGCCAAACGCAACAAAGGAAGCCTACGTCCATATGACCTCGCCTCGGCATCAGAAGCGCTGCGTATACTGTCCGAGGCCACGCTGGCCCTGGAACTCGGAGGGGCTTCGCTTCGTCCGACGGCGCAGGCGAGGGAGAGGCCGCCCGCAGACGCCCGCAGCTTGTCGCTGTGGTGTTCTCGCTCTTCGTCTCCGCCGTCGTCGTCGCCGCCGCCGTCGCCGCCGCCGTCGTCGTCGTCGTCGTCCGGGCCAGGCGAAAGGGGGTGATAGCAAAGGGGGGGTTTGAGAATCAGCTCACGTAGCTGATTTTCCCGGCGTCTCCCGGCGCCGGGAGGCGGTCGAGGCATGGGCCCCTCGTTGGGGCCGGAACCAGCTGCATGCAGCAGATACCGTACCCCCCCCCTTTCCCAATCCCCCCCTTTTGTCCGACCCGAGTCGTCGTCCGGGACCCTGGAGCGACCGCTAGTGAAAACGGCCTGGGACCGAAACCGACGGACCTGGACCTGCAAAAGTGACGGCCGCGACGCCCTCTCGCGAATCGAAAACGGCCAATCCGCTCATCGACGTGTCCGGGCAGGAGGTCTGTCCACCCCTGACTCCGGATCCGCCCTACTTTGGGAAAATTCGTAAGTAGGGCTTGGAATTTCCGCCTTACTTTTCAAGCCCCGCTGATGCCAATTTCCGCCCTACTTTTCTGCAGCTGTTTATGTGGATTTCCGCCCTATTTCATGTTGGGTGCAGCCATTTCCGCCCTACTTTTTCGGCTCCTTATAGGTGGATTTCCGACGCAGTTTTAAGGTGGAAAAAAAAAAGCCAAAGCAGGGCGGATCCGGAGTCAGGGCCGAGTCGTCGGGGACCCCGGAGGGGTCCGCGCGCTTCGCGCGCGCGCGCGCTCTTGCCCCGGGCCTTCGCCGCGAGCCACGCGGACCAAGGCCGGCTGCCGATGGCCGGCCGCGGGCAGCCTCCCGGGAGGCCGCCATTACGAGTACTCCAGATTTCGTAATAAAGGGAGGGGGGTCTCATTTCGGGGGGGGGTCTCTTCCAAGCTATCTTGGAGGGCCTGGGGGGGTCTGGGGACGATGTTTTGAAGGGTTCTCCCACGGGGGTGGGGGGCGGTCTGAAATGGCTTGTCTTGGAGAGTCCAGACCCCCTCCCTTTTATTACGACATCTGGAGTAGGGGCCCTGGGGCACACAAACAAATACACACAAACAACAGGATTCCCATTATTTTTCCAATATTTCCTGGGTTGTTGCCTTCCCCCCCCACTTCCCATATTTTCCAACATTGTCTGGGGAGTCGACGATTACTTGCGTCTGTGTGTTGTTGTCCCGTCCTGAATTACGAGTAGGTCGGGCCTGCCCCCCTACAGGGGTACAGGGGGATCTTGGGCGAAAAGTTAAAGATATGCCAAAAATGCTGACAAAATGCTCAAATATAATTACGCAGAAAATCGTCCCCAGACTACTTCTGGACTACTTTTGCAGATCCCCCCTGTAGAGGGACAGGCCCGACTTGACATTCCAACCCGACGCCGCGATCCTCCCGCTCTCCCGTCCCCAGACCTCCGGCGTCGCGAACAGCATCGAGGCGCAGCCTGGACTTTTGCTGGGGCCGCCTTCGGGGCGTGCGGGGGGCCTCTCGTCGCCTCGGCTGGGTTCCACCTCAGAGTCTTCGTCAAGACGTGCCCCAAAAGAGGTCAAAGGGGGAGGGGGGATGTGTCTAGAGGCCTCCCAAATGAGGTCCGAGTAGATGGGGTCGGAGGATCTCGCCGCATCGCCGGTATGCATCGCCGACGTCGGCGACGCATCGGCGACGTCGGCGTGGAGAAAAGCGGGCTCCGCATCGAGCGGCATCCTCGATGCATCGGCGATGCGGCGTGATCCTCCGACCCCATCTACTCGGACCCCATCTAGGAGGCCTGGAGTATGCCGAAATGGGGCGGGAGCGCCCTGCGAACCCTGCCACTGCGCCTTCGGTGGAGCTCCCTGACCCTGGGGGGCCACGGAACGTGTGAGGGGTGTGCCGAAATGGGGCGGGGGCCCAAAAGAGGTCAAAGGGGGGGGGGGGGAATATTTCAAGGTCGCCGTCCCAGATCCCAGACCTCTTGCAGCAGAAGCAGCAACAAGACTCGCATCGTCACCTGCGGCCCTCCAGGGGCCGCTCTCGAGACCAGGGACCGTCAAAAAGCACCTATGCGCTCAGGTCGGGCATGTCCCCCTACATGCCGATTTTCGAGGAGACCTCGAAAATACTCCCCCCCAAAAAATGCCCCCAACAAATCTAAAAACAATAACAAAACTCGTCCACCAACCATTTGTTTACTATTTTGAATATTCCTCCTGTAGAGGGACGCGCCCGACTTTTACCCACGCACACGCCAACCAAAAAGCCAATGATGAAAATCCCCGACGACACATGGAAAGCGTCCTGGGGAGACGCACTGAAAAACGCACGACGCTGGGGGCCCGGGTCCCATCCCCCCTCCCCGGTCCGGGCCGGGCGAAAGGGGGGGATAGCAAAGGGGGGGGTTTGAGAATCAGCTCACACTGATTTTCCCACCGCCTCCCGGCGCCGAGAGGCGCCCATGTATCGAGGAATGGGCCCGGCGGCGGGGCCGAAACCAGCTGCATGCAGCAGATTTCGTAACCCCCCCTTTACCTATCCCCCCATTTCGATCCGCCCGACCGGTGTCCCCAACGCAAGGAGCGGGGGAGGGGGACGGGGAACGGAAAGGAGGGGAGAATCCAGGTCCTGGCCACTCAGCCCCGGCTTCGCGCGTCGCGCCGCGCAGCACGCGGTGCGCGATCCTCTTCGCGCTCGCGCGCCGAGCTCCAGAGAAGGACAGCACTGCACCTCCACCCGCAAGTCCCCAGAGGCTCCTGGAGGACTCCAGACGTCCCAAGCAGCCCTGAACTTAGAACAGGAAGCCTCCCTCGGCGTGCCTTCTGCGCGCCTTCTTCACGCCCCTGAGTGGCCCAGACTGCTTGTCGTAATCGAGAGTAGCTGACACGAAAAGAGCGGGCTTCCTGGGCCTCGGGGCACTCCTCGGGCATATTTTCAGACGGCCTGCGGGGGCCCGCAAAGGGGCTCTGGGAGGCTGGCATCGGCGGAAACCTGAAAAACCCCAATCAATGGATAGTTTGATCGATAAGGAGATCGACCGGGAAACTGGGAACCCGAACCCACCGAAATCAAAATTGCTCATCCTTACAGTCGGGCTGCTGAAAGAAGGAACGCTAAACAAGGAACGAACCCCCTTCTTGGCCCTGAAAGCGCATCCGTGCCCCAGGAGGGCGAGAGGAACAGCACTGGAGGAACCTCAGGAACCTCGAGCCCCCTCCGAACCCAAACTCTTCGTTATCTCAGCGCCTTGACTGTATTCTTCGAGATGTGCTCACGACGTCGCCGTCGCTTAGTGCCCGATCGTGTCTTGAGCAGGGACCACCGTCCCGGCATTCCTGTAGTCCTACCACGACATGTTCTTAGAACCCCCAAATGTTCTAAGAACAAAAACCATGTTCTTAGAACATAATCCCGATGCGATAAAACAAGACAGACTCCGCCAGAAATGTTCTGAGAACATTTCGTGGAAGCCACCAAAGGTTCTGAGAACGTTGCTTGGTAGGGCCATAGGCGAACCAGGACGCTTCGCCACTGCTCGAGCGCCGAGGTCTCCCGGCCTCCGCTGCTGCCGCAGGCGGTGCCTGCGCTCTGCCCCGGAGCCCGGCAGCGCGCCCAGGAGGGCGCACGCCAGCAGCGCCCTCGCTACATTGCCGGTGCCGCCGGCCAGAGGCGCGCGGGCCATCCCGTGCCCCGCGGCCGCATCCAGGGGCTGTGCGGGGGGGGAGGGGGGGGCAAACAGTGGGTCGGGCAGGTCCCCCCCCTACAAAGGGGGATATTGTGGGCGAAAAACAGAAGTAGTTTGATAAATGCCCCAGAATAGCCAACGAATGCTCACGAAATCGTCCCCAGACTGTTTTTGTTGACTGTCGCGGAATACTCCTCACTGTAGAGGGACAGGCCCGACTTCGGGCAGACCTGCGCCTCCCTCCCGTGGGACCTCCGCCCGTGGGCGGGAGGCATCGTCCGGAGCCACGCCCTGCCGGTCCGGCGCCTCGCCCGCGGCGCTGTGGGTGCAGGGCGGCCTGGCGCGGACGCCCCGCTGGGAGCGTGTCTGCCGGTGGACTCGCGCATCTCCAGACCGCGAGGGCACTTTGGTGATGGCGTTGACATATGAGATTTATGTCAGATGAAGTCACTTATAAGTTACTTCAATTATATATGAAGTTATTTGTAAGTAACTCGAAACCACTTGTAGTGAGATATGTTAAGATCCTGCAACTACCATCCACATCTAACTTAAGTCATTAACATATATACTTAAATCACATGTAGAACATATGTTACTTGTGTGCACCCAATTGCCATATTTATAAGTTACTTGTAGTTATACTTATAAATAAGATAAGTTTAAGTCCGATAAGTCTGCTTTTTCGTCTGCTTTTTGAAAAGGGGGTCGGACACCGAAAAACGCGCAGGTTTTCTTCAGCACAGTGTTTCGCCAGGCGCCAGGCGACCGAGAAGGCCGTTCATCACCGAGCTCAACCCGCGCAGCCTGGGGGGTAGGAGAGAGGGGGCGGGAATGGCGGGGGGGGGATCGGGAGGGGATGCCATGCGCATTGGCGGCACACCGCCCGCACTTCTCATCGCGGCGCGTTCTGATGTGATTCGTTTCGGCGGCCCACCGCCCACGTCTTGCAAATTCTGAGCAGTTTTATCGCATTGGCGGCGCACCGCCCATCGCTATGTTTTGCCCGCGTATTGCAATTTGTACGTTTTGCACATGTTGATTGAAGTTTCGTCGCGTTGGCGGTGCACCGCCCACGTTCCCTTGATTGCGCGAATCGTTTCTTCACGCATCGGCGGAGCACCGCCCACGCAGCACGTTTCATCCGAATTCGTCATCGAATTTGGCGGTACACCGCCCACGTCCCCGTGATTGCGCGATGCGTTTCTTTCGCGTTGGCGGTGCACCGCCCGCGGCGCATGCTTCGCCCGAGTTTGTCATCGCATTTGGCGGCCCACCGCCCACGTCACCTTGATTGCGCGAGGTGTTTCTGCATTCGTTGGCGGTGCACCGCCTTCGGCGCACGTTTCATCATATACCGTTTGATTGGTCGCATTGGCGGCGCACCGCCCAGGAGGGGGGAGGAGGGGAGAGGGGGGAGGAGAGGATAGCAGAAGGAAGACGTGAAGGGCCATGCCATTTCCCTTCGCCACAATACGCTGCCCCTGTCCCACCGAGCGCTTCTGGAGGGGCCGCGGGGCGGGCGCCCCCCGACGCGCCGCGGCGCGATGGAGCGCGTCCAGGCTGCCCTGGGCGAGGCAGCCGCGGCGCTTGCAGCGGCGAGCGGGCCTTCCAGGGGCGCTGCAGAGCAGCTGCACTTCGGGAAGGTGCGCGCGCTCATCGAAGGCCAGAGGTGAGGCTCGGGTCAAAGATCCCGTACGGGCGAGAGGCCATCCGTTCCCCCTTCGAGGAGGTCCCCGCCTCCGTTCGGCGGAACGCCGCCCGCTCCCCCCTCCTCCCCGCCGTCTAACATTCCCCCGTCGTTTTGCAGGTGGACGGCCACGGAGAAAGGGCAGCTGCTGACCCAGCTCGGGCAGACGGGGTTCAGTCACGATTTGGTCGGCGCCGCGACCGAGTGGCTCTGCGGGAGGCGCACGAAGGCCAAAGGGCAAAGTTACGAGTGCTTCGTGGAGTTGCTTACTGCCTCCACGTGGCACGTGCTGCTGAGCCCAACCGAGTCGTTCGCTTCGAAATTTGTCATGTTGATGCGCCACTTGGAGCGCCTCGGGCTCCGGAACCCTTCCGAGCCGACGTTTGGCATGCTAGCCGCGTTCATGTTCCTGGCGTGCCAGCGATCAGGCATCGAGAAGAATTCGCCGACTCCGCAGCTCTTGGACGTGTACTTGCAGTTGGTGAAGACCACGTGGCGTTCCCCTGCCTACACAGCTGCTCGAGGCAAGGCGACCGAGTTTGTCGGCGCGCTCCCCCCCTCGGCGGCGCTGTTCCAGCAGGAGAGGCCGACGCTGTACGAGCAGGCGTTCGCCTCGGAGGGGCCCGTGCAGCCGACAATTGGGCTTCTCGAGACGCAGATCCTCGGGAAGCTCATCAGCTTGCGCGGCAACAGGAACGCAGCGCTCGGCGCCCAGGCAACGCCGCAGCGGGCGGCGTTGCCGCCGATCGCCTTCGCGCCTCTGCCGCCGCCTTCTCCGATGCAAAGCGTTGCGGTTGCAGCCGCGACGATTGCCGCGACGCCTCCCTTGGGAGCCGCGACGCCAGCGGCGTTGCCGTTGGGGGTGATCCCAACGCACAACACCCGCGGCGGGTGGCCGAACCCAGCGGCGGCCGCCCTCGTCTCGCAGCGCGGGCCGACGACTCCCACTCCAGCAGCTCCCGCGGGCAAGCCTGCCGCGATGTCGGGAGCGGCGCCTGCGGCCGCGGCCTCAAAGTTGGGCGGTGGCGCCAAGGTCAAGGCATCGGCCGTTGACGTCATGGTGCTGAGCTCGAGCGAGTCCGAGGTGGACGCGAAGGGGGCGCCGCAGAAGAAGGCAAAGGTTTTTGGACGGTAACCTGGGCCCGCCTCCGCGGCCTCCGCGATTCACGGGGGCGCGCCTCTGCCCAAGGCAGCGGCGCGCCCTCTGCGGGGCGTCGCAGGCGCGGCGATTGGTTATTGCCACTTGCCGCTGTCAAGGTGGATCCGGCACTGCCGCTGGCGAAGCTGCCTGCCGACGCTGCCCTGGTTCTCCTCCAAGCGGCGGGGCAACGTACTTCCTCTGGCTGGAAAGCGGAGAAGGGCGAGAAGAAGCGGAGGAAGTCCGACGCAGTGGCGGCCTTGGCGAAGACAAAGGCTTCAGATGGCACGGCGAAGCCATCGGCGGCGAAGGCAAAGGCAAAGGCAAAAGCCGAGGCAACACCGAAGAAGATTGCGAAGGCGAAGGCGGCAGCATGCAAGCTGAAAGCACCGCGGTATGACGACGAGACCACTCGCAGCCAGATTCTCTTCAGGAGCGGGCGCAGCGGGCCAGGCGGCACCAAGAGCAAGAAGTACAGGAACGGCAAGGAGAAGGACACTTTTGGGTCCCATCTCCTCCAATCGGCGTGGCCACGGGGCTCGATGCGCGGCGGCGGAGCGCGTTGTTGCGGCCGCGCGTGGCCTCGCTCCAATCATATGCGCAAAGAGACCCCGCGGGCCACTTTGCGTTTATGACGGTTTTCATCTGCCACTCAGGAGGCCGCCATCGCCTGGGCCAAGGCGCTGGTGCAGAGCGAGCTGGAGGCTCGCAAGGGCGAGTTCTGAGGCGACCTGCTTCGGTGGCGCGATGCATGACTCTCAGTCGGATTTGCCGCGGGCGGCGCGTGGGGCGCGCAGCCTGCGTTCAGAAAACAAGGAACTCGGATCGAAATCGGATCGTAATCTCATCGGGCCTTGCTTGTCCTTGCGCTGCTCAGGCGGTTCTTCGTATTTATTGGAAGGTTTGCCTGGCGGTGCACCGCCTCCATCTGTTGTCGGCGGTGTTCCGCCTTCGCTGGTTCCATTACCATGGGCGTTCTCATTTCTCTGACCGCTGCCTCGCCCTTGCCCGCCTCCCTCCGCCGCTCCCCCCGCGCCTTTTCAATTCAAGCAGCCCTCCCCGCGGGTCCCGCGGCGCCCCTCCCCGCGCCGCTGCCGCCAGCGGCCGCGGGCGCTTCGCGGGCGCATGGCGAGCGAGGGCGCGGCCAGCAGCGCCATGGACAACTCCGCGGAGGCGCTGGGAATTCAGAAAACGCCTGCTCAGCCCGAAGCGTCCGCTTGGGCAGTGCAGGCTGATTTCCTGGATTCCTGTTGAGGTGCACACGGCGGCTTCAGATGCGAGCCAGTCGCTTTTCGAGCAGGTCGCCGAAGCCTTGAACCTCTTCGAGATGTTCGCCCAGGCTCGAGGGAAACGGATCGAGCGCGCCCGACGCCCATGCGGCCCCGCCCCCGTTCGCCCGCGTTGGCCTGGATGCAGGCGGCGGCGGGGCAGGGCCCAGAAGCGACGGTGCTCTCGGCGTTTACCTTGCCTTGCGCAGGAGGCAGGCATGGATGACATCATCGCCGATCCCGCGCCGCCAGGCTGGCAGACGGCGGAGTGCCCTGGCAGCAGCAGCAGCGACCCCTCGCCAGAGGCGAAGCAAGGACCGACGCTCATCCCCGTCCACAATCAGGGCGCGGCGCCGAAGTCGCCGCCACGTCGCACCCGAGACGCTGGCGGCACGTGGCGGGCGGAGCAGCAGCAGCAGCAGCAGGAGGTGCAGCAGCAGCAGCAGCAGCCGCCGTCGGAGAAGCCTCAGCCGCCGTGGCGCCAGGCGCAACCGCCAGCAGGCGCGCCCAACGTGGGCGCCTCAGGCGCGCCCAACGTGGGCGCCTTCGTCGCCAAGGTACCCGAAGTGCCGAAAGCGTCTGCGGCGCCAGAGGACGTGGTGCAGGCGTACAAGTTCTTGCGCTCGCTGCTGAGCGAGAGCGCGCCGATCGCCTGGAACTCCAAGCGCGTCCAGGAGCCACTGGAACTGCTGCAGCGCTACGTCGGCATCTGGGGTCGCGCCAGCAGGGGGCCGCCCGCGCCCATGCACGGTGGCCCGCAATTCTGGCGCGGCCAGACGTGGCGCAAGAGCGGGAAGCGCTGGGGCAACCGTGGTGGTTCAGGCCCCAAGTCGGAGTGGTACGCCTCCAAATACGGCCGCGCGCCACCGCGCCGCTCGCTCCAGGACAGCGGCGGCGGCCC